TTGTAAAAATAAACCTTTTAACATAACAAAATAACCACACCAAGACTTCTGAAACCCTTTGGTCACATATCCTCGATGATATCTAACACTGTATTCCCTTTCATACTCGTCTAGTTGAAAACATCGGCTGGCGGCCATTTTCCTGATGTTTTGCTGAAAATCGTTCTGTCAGACGGTTTACGGCAGATAAATTTGTATAGACAAGGGGCATGAAATCTGTATAGACTTTCGCTTTAACGTTCATTCACAACTGAAATGAACGAACGTGACTACATAGATACTAGTGTTGACGAATCGAAACCAACCTTAGTTTCTAAAACGAAAGAAGGATCGTTCGATAAAAAGGTAATATACCGTGTTATGTTTATCATTTTGTGACTTTAATACAATTATGTATACATTCATACAACGTACATTTGAGTTGAACATGCTTGTATTTCTATAATAATTATTTATTCACTAATTCTTGTTAACCAGACAATCACTAAATCTCTGAAGAATGTAAAAAATTCTGGAAACAAAGTGATCCCTCGGAAGCATTAATCACAACAAAATAACATAAGAATTGCAGACTCGGTTTGATTGAGTCTGTACATGAGGGATAATGAATAAGTGCAACATCCCTCACGCCCCCTAGCACCGGCTTGAGCGGTACTCAATTCTCAACACTGTATAAAACTGAACAATTTTAAAAGGTTTGATTAACCTGAGTCGGCAAAACTATTCTAATATGACTCTTTTAGTATGTTCTTATACTACAAAAAGAAAATATATTGGGTGTAAAGTTGCAAAAAGGCGAAATGCAGAAGCTGTTATTTTTCATGTACGCCACCTGATAAAATCGATATACATGCATAGGACCGTAAGTAACAATAATGATGTATTTTGTTTTCTCTTCATGGTCATGATAAAATATCATCTTACAAACAGTCATTTAATATTTAACACTACGTTAATGTTTTTGATATCATTCATAACCAGCGAAGTGACGTCATCAGCACACAACGCATTCATAAAAACCATGAATTAATTCAAGCATACATATGATTCAATCTAATTAAAATCACATCCTAAATGCACTCAACTGCCCTTCGCAGAGTAACGGAGCGAAAACGGTGATCTGATTTTAAATGAGATTGACTTGGGTGAGAATCCAGTTAGGGTTTACACAATATAACATGAAGTCTGGTAAACATGAACATTTAAATTGTTGTACACTTCTTAAAATAACATTTGAAGAAAAAAATGAACGAGACTTAAATCGATGAATCGGCTCATCTCTTAATATGTTTATTATATAAGCGATAGTAAGATTTAAAGTTTGAACAATACATTGTAGATATGAAATGTGGTGGGTACAAACTGTTATTAAACTGGTAATCGTGATTATTATATGTAGTGTTATAGTGAATGAACGATGAATATACTGGTGTTTATAAAGGGAACATTATGTTATTTCTTTATTTATATATTAATTTATTTTTAGTTATTTTCATTGGAGTAACAATAATACAACGTAAATGGCATTAGACTATGTTGGTGTACAATTAGATTCTATATATGCACAATTTTGGCGTTAGGCTTCATTGCGATCTTTTCTATAAAATATACAAAATGTATAATTCTGATGAAAAATGATTATGGCCTGGATACAGTAAAATTACAGAAATATTGCCTTTGACTGAAAGTATTTTTTAACAGTTCGGCAACAGTGTTTTCTTAAGAAGCAGTTTTGTTTCTCATAAAAAGTGCTTGTGAACTACTATTTTAAAAATGACAGTCAAAAACTCAAAAGACTCATTTTAATAATATATGCGAGCATTATTCCCCATTTAACTGCATAAAATGCTTAAAATAACTACTTATGAACTGTTTCTTAACTACATCAATGCTTGTAAATCATCTGGTAGAGCATGAAGGAAAATGTAGTTTTAACCATGCACACAATTTTATAAATAAATGATATGAAACAATTGATTACAAAATTCTATTATCTTGGTCAACTCATAATAAAAGGCTGTCTGACTGCTACGTATATTTGTCTTTTAATATGATATGGAATATTATCATGACATTTTACGTTCTCTTTCAAGAATATTCTAGTAGTATGTTGGTAAATGGCTCGAAGCTTATGTTATTGTGTTACATAATGTATATAGATAAACAGATAGTTTCTTCTAACTTAAGTCACATGGTATTTTATTTTTGACCATACCCAAGTTGTAAGAAAATTAACATATTTCACCTGTTCAGGAACCCCTACCTATTCACACGACCAACCACAATAGGAGTGTTATTAACTGTAGAAATATTTTCAAATTTAGACCATGCCGAAGAAAAAGAAAACGCATTTATCAGAAAATAAACAGGCTACTCAGGTTCGGGTACATGAAGATTTAGAAGCGAACGAGAAAGACGACATTCCAGATGCAGAAACCGTGAGAAAAATGAAAGAAAAATTGATTAATGAAAAACCCGAGTTGAGACAGGTGTTTCAATATATGGACAAGATGTCTGAAGACAGATTGAAGCATGCACAAGACTCTTCTTTTGTTCTTAAAAATGAGAGAGGTAAAACTTATTAATTTACTCAAATATTGGGGGCGGGGGATTGCATGAATTTCATTTCGATATATGTATATAAATCGTCTCGAAACGTTACTAAAGAGTGACGTAAAACGCTTTTGACTACCTTTTATGCAGATATTTTTTCTTCAGAATACAGTTGTACAAAATCTTCAAATATCACTATTGTCGTTCGCGTAATTTCATAAATCGTTTAAATTTTACCATACTTTTCATGTAAAGCCTTAGTTTTTAATTACTTTTTAGCTCACCTGACCACGAAGTGGTCATGGTGAGGTATAGTGATGGGGCTATGTCCGGCGTCCGTCGTCGTGCGTCGTCAACAATTGGGTTGTTAACAGTCTAGCAGTCACAGTTTTGATCGGATCATCATCAAACTTTGTCAGAATGTTTGTCTCAATGAAATACAGATCGACTTCGAAGATGGGTTATCTCGGGTCAAAAACTAGGTCACAGGAGCTAAAAATAGAAAAAGCTTGTTAACACTCTAGAGGCTGCAGTTTTCATCCGAATATTCTGGAAATTTGTCAGGAAGGTTGTTTTGATGATATCTAGGTCAAGTTTGAAGATGGGTTATCTCCGGTTAAAAACTAGGTCACAGGAGCTAAAAATAGAAAAAGCTTGTTAACACTAACAATTGGGTTGTTAACAGTCTAGCAGTCACAGTTTTGATTGGATCATCATCAAACTTTGTCAGAATGTTTGTCTCAATGAAATACAGATCGACTTCGAAGATGGGTTATCTCGGGTCTAAAACTAGGTCACAGGAGCTAAAAATAGAAAAAGCTTGTTAACACTCTAGAGGCTGCAGTTTTTATCCAAATATTCTGGAAATTTGTCAGGAAGGTTGTTTTGATGATATCTAGGTCAAGTTCGAAGATGGGTCATCTCCGCTCAAAAACTAGGTCACAGGAGCTAAAAATAGAAAAAGCTTGTTAACACTCTAACAATTGGATTGTTAACAGTCTAGCAGTCACAGTTTTGATTGGATCATCATCAAACTTTGCAGTCTGTGCGAAAGTCCGTCGGTCCTCGGTCCTGGCCGAATAAAAATCATGCGGTCCGAGATAAATTTCCTTTCCGTCAGTCCTCATGTCCGAATAAAATTTCAAAAAGTTAAAAATATTAATGACCTGATTGATAACAAGTACCCTGTGATGCAAAGAATTTATTAAATAAGATATTGACCAACCTTAACTCTATTTTGTAGACATGTCAAATAGGAATACCAGTCAACTCTGTCTTCAAAAAGTTTCATCAACAACGGTAAATTTTGCCGTAAAATACAAATTTGAAAATTTTGTTATACGATGCCTGTTGAAATGGCCGATGAGTAACAATCTTAAAATAATGAAAAAATATTTAATTTAATATAATCAAAATCAACAACAGGTAGATTTGTGAATGTTTCTGCAGGAAACAGACACATTTTCAATTGTCACATATTTTCGCGATGCCGCTTTTTATAATTCAAAAATCGTAATCAAAAGGAAGATATGTTTTGTAAAAATGTGTGTCATAACACTTAAAATGTAGTTTAGGAATTAAAATTACTAAAGATATTGTTTACTTTAGTTGAAATGGAGGTATTTACCTGTATACATGTTTGTCACATACAATGAATATTTTCTTATGGGGGGGGGGGGGGGAGTGGAGTGAATCTGGAAGAAAAGAGCATAATGGTCTGATGATGAAGGGTTTTTGAAATTATATTTCAAATCTTTTCAATCACTTTTATGGTACAGTGTTGGGACATATTACCATTTTCCTGAATAAGCTTTTTCTCTGTTCAAACTCCAACTGACCCCAACCCCTTACTCTGCTCATATACATCATAATTGCAACTGCATAAGTGCAGCAAAGATGGCTTAACATATTCAAAGTGATCTGGAAGTCCTACATTTTTGTGCTTGGGAGTCCCAGAATTCCTACTTTGAAAATTCTAGTGAGAACCCTGCTTAAGTTATTTCATATGGTCAGCATCTTCTTGTGTTTCTATATGATGGTCACACTAATGATTGTCACACTTATTTTGAAGAAAGACGATCATTTTTACATTCAACTGAGTTATTATAAAATAATGCTTGAAATGTCTGGGCCGGAAAAATATCATCCGGGCCGGAAATAAACCTAAGGGTCTCGGTCCTTGTGGCCTGAAAAAAAAATTGACTTTCGTATAGACTGACTTTGTCAGAATGTTTGTCTCAATGAAATACAGATCGAGTTCGAAGATGGATTATCTCGGGTCATAAACTAGGTCACAGAAGCTAAAAATAGAAAAAGCTTGTTAACACTCTAGAGTCTGCAGTTTTTATCCAAATATTCTGGAAATTTGTCAGGAAGGTTGTTTTGATGGTATCTAGGTCAAGTTCGAAGATGGGTCATCTCCGGTCAAAAACTAGGTCACAGGAGCTAAAAATAGAAAAAGCTTGTTAACACTCTAGGGGCTGCAGTTTTCATCCAAATATTCTGGAAATTTGTCAGGAAGGTTGTTTAGATGATATCTAAGTTAAGTTCGAAGTTGGGTCATCTCCGGTCAAAAACTACGTCACAGGAGCTAAATATAGAAAAAGCTTGTTAACACTCTAGTGGCTTCAGTTTTCATCCAAACATTCTGGAAATTTGTCAGGAAGGTTGTTTTGATGATTTCTAGGTCAAGTTCGAAGATGGGTCATCTCAGGTCCTATGTCCAGTCAAAAACTAGGCCACAGGACCTAAAAATAGAAAAATATTTTTAACACTCTAGTGGCTGCAGTTTTGATCCAAATTTCCTGGAAATTGGCCAGGAAGGTTGTTTTGATGATTTCTAGGTCAAGTTTGAATATGGGTCGTGCACGTGTCCGGTCAAAAATTAGGTCACATTGCCCAAATATGGAAAAATCCTTATAACACACTAGAGGACACATGTTTGACTATGTTGTCATCAAACTTGGCCATGATTCTTGTTTAAGACATTGCTTGGATGCGGTTGTGTCAGGTAAGCGATCCAGGGCCATCATGGCCCTCTTGTTTTATTCAGGATTTGTTACACCGGAACTTCTATTACAATATCCGAACTCGCCTACAGCCAAGTATACAATGGAAGCACTGAACCATTACATGTATGCATTTAGCATATTATGGAGTTACTCTAAACCAAGAGTTCTTCTGCAGAGTGACTGTGATTTTTTACAACCTGGACTACACCACTTCATTGAGGGATACATGATTGCACAGTATATGCGCCAGCAGTTTCCTTTGCCCCCATCGTTCACAGATTGGGTAGAAGATTATCTAAAATTGAGACCAAATGATATTTTGGTGGAATATATTCATGTGAAAGCTATTGTCGGTTGGAAGACGCAAACGTTGTCTGACTATGAACACTGCAAGGAAACAATACGAGCACTTGAAATATTTGTTCATAAATTACAGCCATACGCTAAAAATCAGGACACAGCCAAACGAATCCTTATTGACTCGTATTACGTGTTGGGTGCGAGATATACAACAACAGACCAATATGAACGAGCCTTGGATGCATTTGAGAAATGTTATGCTTTAGATGAGACAAATATAGCCGCGATATACAGCGTTGCCTTTCACTACAAAAATAAAGATCCCGAAAAGGCCTTACAGTTTTGTAATAAATATCTGGATATGGCGCCAAAATGTGATGAAAAATTTCCGAACGTTCATTATGTAATGGGTTATATCTACGCATGTCATTTGAAAAATATTGAACTTGCGAAAAAGCACTATCATCTTGGAAAGAAAGCAGAAACATACAGATTGCCGTTTAACCCACCTACTGATTTTAATCCAAAATCTTTCCTTGAATCGATCATGCCTCTTGCAGCAACAAATAACGCAATGCTTCAGAAAACTTTGGAACATATGGATATGAAGAAATTAACACAATGATGATTTTAAATTTTCAAGCGATACGTGTATGTATTTCCAACAAATATAAGTGTGATTTATTATTGATATCTAGCATATATGATAGCTTCCTCGCGTGCCCTCTCACAGCGGTTAGGGAAAATTTAGCATATATGATAGCTTCCTCACGTGCCCTCTCACAGCGGTTCGGGGGCAATTAAGCATATATGATAGCTTTCCTCACGTGCCCACCCACAGCGGTTAGGGACAATTAAGCATATATGATAGTTTCCTCAAGTGCCCTCCCACAGCGGTTTCTGGGCAATTTAGCATATATGATTGCTTTCTCACGTGCCTACCCACAGCGGTTAGGGGCAATATTTCGTAACAAGACAAACATTAACTTCATCCTTGACAGGTTAAGAAAAAGTTTATATTGCAACAAAGAGTTCTACTACTCTGAAGAGTTCATACTACTTATTGTCATCGTTTAAAAAAAAACGTGGTGGGGGCATGGGGTGGGGAGGATAGGATGCTTCACTTCAAGGAAGTTATATTGTTAAGCTTATATTCAAGTTTTGCTTTATATACGTAAACAATAAAATAAATTGTATATAACAAGTGTTTTGCAATTACATGTCACAAAAACCTAAAGTATGGCATTGTCATCTAAATCATGTCACTTCAAGAGCATACTCTTTCATATTAAGAATAAACAAATCTAATTACCTTACATACGGTGGCATAAAAGTGACATTTGCAATTTTGTTTTTGTTTTTGATACTTAATTTTTTGTTTTTCGTACATTTTTGGTTCTTTTTTTGTTTTGCATACATATTTTTTTAGGTTTTGCATACATATTTTATTTTAGTTTTGAATACATATTATTTTTGTTCTGCATACATATTTTTTTATTAGTTTTGCAAACATATTTTATTTTAGTTTTCGTACATTTCTTGTACATATTTTTACATGACGCCATTTGCAAAGTAGAGGTTTGGATAGTTACGCCATTTGTAAAACACCATGCTATCTGTAAATTACAGTATTCCATTTGCAAACGCCATTTGCAAATACCAAGATTTTCATTTTTGGAGGCATAAAAAAAAGAACAAAAAAAACCAACAGTTTTTAGTATATATATATATTTATATAGTCCGCGGTCTCGATGTGGTTAACGTTTGACTTAAGGTGCATGAAAATCCTTCATGGGGTTTAGGAGATAAGTTGCGGGCATGAAACCCAAGTCACAATTCTTTGACCTGTATGTGTGACCCCGACCTTGAGCCGGCAAACCTGGCATATTAGTTCTGCACATTATCTGGATGTGCTAAACAATTGATCCAAGTTTCATAAAAATCCTTCAAAGCTGTAAGCATTTTTTCTAAACCAGTGGGATTATAAGGACCTATTTAGATCTTTTATTGTGCATTATTGTAATGCACCAGTCATTTTAACCACCTCCCTCGCCCCGGGGGAGTGCGGGTTAAAAAAATCGTTTTTTGACGTTGCGCTGTTCCGGGGCATAAGACAGGGATGTTATTATCTGAGTATCACCGCAGGGCGAATATTGTACCAGAGGTCGGCTTGGTTTAAAGTCAATGACCCCCCGGCCCCCGCTATTCTCAGGGTGTGGGGTTGATTGGTGCATATTAATGGAATAATAACTGATCACCAATCAACAGCCTTTTCCAAATAGACACTAATATAATAGTATATAATAATAATAAAAAACAATAATTATGTAAAATACATAATTATAATTTAAAAAGTGGACCGAAAAGGATCGGCCTTTCGGCCGAAACCAAACTTGCCCGGCCGAAAACGACTAGGCCGATTCCAAACTGTGCTACTATTGTAACCGTATTTTATTCTCAACTATGGGCTGTTATATATGAGATGTGAAGACAGTTTTGATTGGCTAAAATATGTACGAAAAACAAAAATAAAATATGTATGCAAAACTAAAAAAGAATATGTATGCAAAACTAACAAAAATTATGTTATCAAAACTAAAATAAAATATGTATGCAAAACTTAAAAAAAAAATGTAATCAAAACTAAAAAAAAATATGTTTGCAAAACTAAAAAAATATGTACGAAAAACAAAAAAAAGTAAAAATAAGTATCAAAAACTAGACAAAAAATAAATTTGCAAATGTCACTTTTATGCCATCGTACTTACGTCAATAAGATGACAACATGGAGTGGAGTGGTGCTAAATAAACTTAATTCAACTATAATTGAACTTGCATGTACTATATTAAATTATGCATTTAAAACGACAAAAAATGTGCAAAAACTACAAAAACAGAATAATCTATTATTGAAAATGTGAATATACTTAAGTAGAGATATTAGACATTCTTCATCATAATATGAATTAAAATTACCTTCAAATGAGTTATAATGGACTATGAAGTAATCTTGAATAAACGTTTTTAAGGATGAGCCTCAGGATCATAAAACTTTAAGGTTATCTCACCTCGAACTTGTGATTGTTTAATTTTCCAATATTAATCTATCTTGCGGAAAATACAATGATTGGCTATTTCAATGTTCGTATTCTATGAAGAAATAAAATAGTTTATCATCTGAAGAGTGTAACGGTTATAATCGTTATTGTCTTTAAGCAGACAGATTAGTTTAATAACTGATTTCTTGACATTAATAGTCCATAAACACGCTCTTTCTAAATTAATTTTATATGATTTTCCCGTAACTCGTCAATAATATTGCTGAAGATGTGATCAAATACAATTTGTCAAAGGAAGAGACACCAAACGTTAAAGGGAAACATCAATCGATTATATCTCGGAGTTTTTGTCTCATTACATGGATAGAGAAATTTGCTTGTCTCATTTACACAATTTCCATGGAAGATATAGGTGAGTACGTGATAAAATTTAGGTAAGATTCATAAATCTTTACACATAGTAAAATCTTAAACACTTTGTGTATTAAACAAAAAGGCGGAACTTAAATGTGAATACTGTTTTTTTTAAATTGTGATATTATGCGATTAAAACTGAAATGAAATGTTCTTACAATGGGATGTACAGTTAGTACGATAGAAAATTCTCACTATCCAAATACAGACAGGAATAATGACACTGCAACTCATATTCCTCAAATGTCGGATGAACAGACAAATGTAATACAAGACAACTGGCAAACATTGAAGCTTCATATAGCTAATATTGGAGTTAAAACTTATTCTAGGTATGTATATATAATTTCATAATTATAATAACCTTTAAATGACATATGCACCGTTGCATAAAATTAATTTCTGTTCTTGATATTATAACTATTTAAAAATCATCTACCTAAAGTAAAATGCCTGTCATCTAATAATAGAAATGTGCCGACATGAGTATACATACACCACATAAAAATAGGTAAAGGGGGATTTTAACAATGGTTCAAAATTGAATGAAAATATATGGAAATATATTTAATAGACTTTTGTTGAGCTGAGACTCATATTTCCACTACCTACGGCAGATGCCCTCAAGAGTTATATAGTAAATTACTATTAGTAATACTATATAGTATATTGTAAAATACTATTACTGTAAGAGCTTGTATCATATTGTCTGTAAATTATTTTATAAGGTCAAGCAAAGGTAATCTCTTAGTATGAGGTTATGAACGGAGAGATACATAATTAGATTTTACCTGTCTGAATCAATTTTCAGTATGTTTGAGAGTAGACCGGAGTTGATAAAGACATTTTCAAAATTTAAAGGAAAGGATCTATATACGTTGCAGGAATCAGGTTTGTTACAACAACATGCACTACGAGTGATGGCAACCATTGATAAATGTATCACATATATTAACCAGCCATCAAGCATGATACAAATACTTCGGGAAGTCGGGCATCTTCACACAGTATACAATGTAAAACCAGATGATATCCAGGTAAAATGACAAATTGAATTAAATACGATTAAATATATAATTATATATATAGCATGATTAGATTTAATTCTGCAAATTCCTGTTCTGACTTCATAATTAAGGCCATGTTGACGTAAGCGCTAAATAACTACTGTAATGCGCAAAGTATTTTCAAATTTCATGTACATTGTAAAATGACTCGTTATGTTCTCTGTCAATGTATTTAAAGCCCTATTTAAAGTGGTATAGTTTATATAACTGCAATATGACGGAACTTTCATAAACAATTTATTATTTTAATACCTTTTCTTGATCTCAGTTTTTTTTTATAAAAGTTATGTCAACATTTCAATGTGACGTCAAAATATGTGCCACTTTGATACATAATACAATTATTCACCGAACGATATTCAATCTATTCTATTTCTCATTTTTCAGAGCTGAAAACAAAATGTAAATTCGTTTCACTACTACATTATCACGTTATTTTATATCGTTTTATTAAACGTCATTCTACGTACCAGTAGAACGCGCTTAAGAATAGGTATTTATATTAACTTAGTATTTGTTTTACAAAGCATTTAATAAAGTCAATATTGTATCCCTCTGTCTTATTAAAACAAAGCACGTAAGTGTTCAAAACATTAGTTATAAATTAAAAATATATTTTTCAGATAATACTACCACATTTTCTGAGTGCAATGAAACCTTATATTGAGGGAAAATGGTCTGATGACTTGCAGGATACATGGATAAAATTTCTTACCATCGTGTTTTATCATATGAGGGAAGGTATGCAGGAAGAACTTAGCCCAGAAGAGGTTAAACAACAGAAGGACCACCAACAACATACAGCGGAAGAAAAATTAGACTAACTTCTTGAAGTGGATTAAAACAATATTCTAGTGGATGTGCATATAATTGATAAACATCATGAACTATTTGTACACGCTAATGCTTTCAGGTGATCAAATAAGGTGTAGCTAGGCGATTCTGACTATTTCATGTTGCAGAATCCTACTGTCTCCTCACCACTGGCACTCATCCAATATCAGTGTTAAAAGTGAACACATAAGATAAATCAGGAAAAATTATGTCCAAAAATAGTTTACAGGCGCCAGACCTATTTGTCCAACATATGTTTTGTGACTTAACCATGGTTAATTTTTTTTTGAAATTAAATTAAAACATTTATGTGTAGTTATAGATAGTTATTGAATGTCGCCAACTCATTTAAGCATGGTTGTTTGAATTTCCGTGTGTCAATAAATTATGATGTTCAAAACTGATAGAAAGCTTTCCATATGTTGGTAAATCGATTTTTAGCTTTTTTTGTTATTTTGTTTTTGTTTTGATCTTTTTTAATATCAGTTGATTGTTTTAATGCAGTTAAATTAACCTTTGTTATAATCCTCGTATTTCTTAACCAAGCTGAGATTTTTTCGAACAACATAAATATCTTAAGAATGTATTGCAATGATCAATCAATTTATCATTTCTTGACACCCCATCTGTCTTATAGAGGAGACAAATTGTTTGGAAAAAAGAGATACTGCCTGTGCATAATTGATTTTCAATATAAAGAAACAAGAAAAGTTTTAACTTGGGCTAGTTCTTTTTATTTGAAAGTCATGTTCTACACACATTCGTATTTTGGGACATGACAAACAATCATGTAGTATATGTTGTTTAATGTTAGTAGAGTTATTATGTAATATCTGATTTTAAGTGAATTTGATATATTAGTGATTTGTTTATGTTAAATACTTTTCTTTTCCAACAGCACTTAACGAATTTTTTTCTATATAAAAATTATGATTAATGTACCGGAGAAGTAAACTCACAAATAATTTTGCAAAGTATTTACAATTTTATTTATCAGCGACAGTTTACTTTCAAAGTACAGATTAACCATTTCATAATTTTCTCCGGGAGAAACTTTATGAATTCAAAGACACGAACCTAATTATTTCATACGTCTGGTCTTAAATCTTCTGAAATGTCACAAATACGAATGTCGGTCAAATACAGACTTAACAGAGACGTGATGAAAGCTTGGGAAAGGATTAGTAGACAAACTGACAATTATCTCTAAACTACCACCATCTATCTTCATCATCACCAAGACGAGGTACATTAAACTAAATGTTAATTAAACTAAATGTTAATATGAAATGCGGTAGTGACAATTTAAAAGGAATGCAGCAAAGATCAGAAAGTCAGTGTTTGATCTTAAATATCAATTGTTATTCTAGACTCCTTTTAAGAAGGAAAGCTCATCGGTCACGTTTCGTACTATTACTTTCCGCAGCATTTTATATGAATATCAGTGTTATGGTGAAAAGAGTTATTAATTAGATAACGGGATGCTTAATATGTTCAAAAATTGTCACCAATATTGTCGTAGTAATTTCATATGTATTAAATTCATTATGTTGCAGAAGTATTTTTTTTACATGCAATCTAATATTCAGTATATTGCAGTTTTAGTAAGAGTATTTTCTTAAAAATGGCTGTATTTTATCTAACTACGACTTGACAGTTTTACATCATTTGATTGAAAATAACTGGGTAATTTTAGCTGTTACATGCATTTGATATTAAAAGCTTAGAAGAAAACACGATAGTAGCTAGCAATGTATATAATCTAATTAAAATTTCCTTATTAATTGATAAAGCCATTATGACTGCATTCAAGTATAGATAGAAAGTCACCATAATGATATATTGCTGTAAGCATTTAGAATAATTTTGTTCGATACCAACACGGAGACGAAGAAATGAATTCTATAATTATCAGATAATCTGTAGAGAATCTTGTGTTAGGAAAAAATAATCAGATATCTGTTTAGGTGTGTATCAAATTAAGAAACCGCTCCCTATATCTTTTATTTCAACTCAAATCTGTTCCAATTTTAGGAAAGAGTAACAGAGTTTGTTTGTTTATCTATATTTATAATCTGTGAAAGTAATTGTCTAAAAACATGACACCATCCTATTCTTTCAAAAAACAAACAATACCAAAACAATAAAAAACCAACAACAAATAACCCGAAATACAAGCAAAGACAATAAAAACAACACAATTTTAGCTTTTGTAACTAAATTTATCCTGTTGAATATATTTACCTCTTAAAGCATATGGTTCAAATCCGATTTGGGAGAGAAAACTCGATATATCGATTGTGTTCCTTGAAGTAAATCTGGAGAGTACCTTGTCTCAATGTACTGTTTAAAATCTGTAAGCATAAGATATACCGACTATTTGTAAAGGCTCAAGCTATAAGATATGGTCATTTATCACATAAACCGCGGCGCAGGAGTGTAATAAAGCCATTTAATAAAAACGATATTACACTATAGTCTGTCCCATTAAAAATGGAAATGAACTTTTGCCTGGTATGAATTAACAAAACGACGTTGAATAAAAAATAAAACTTTTTTGTAAACTAAAAAAAAGTCACCCTCGAGATTTTTCAGGATTTTACTCTAAAGTGTCTACTTTTCTTGTGAAAGCAAATTTTGATTTCTCTATGGTAAATCTCTGTTGTTTATTTTCCGTAGCCATTGCCGAAGTACTCTTCATTTGAAGATGAACGGGAGAAAGCACGTGTCATGTTTCTAAAATATACATGAGGTTCTCGGGGTCGTTTCATGATTATTTTACAAAGCTTGATCTACAAGATGTTTAGTTGCAATGCATGATGGAAAACTTTAAAAAATGAAAAATAAGCAACAAGGACACCGAGTCACATGGAATAGATCTAGAAATTGCACTTACTTTTAAACTGAATAGAATCCCTATGAACATTATAAACGTCACGACAAATTCACATTCTGAAGATTCCTTCATTGCCGGTTTCTATCCAGTTCCGTAGATCCCAAGTTTTTTACTTCAAAAATCCTGAATGACATGACTCCTAGTCCTACACTTTTGATGATCCAGATTTTTTAAACTGGTAATCTGTTCTCATTATTAAAACATTTGTTCAATTTGTGGAGTTATCTGGGTTAGCAAATGAAATATGTAAATGAAACACATCATAATTCAGCATGTTCCAAATCCATAATTCAAGAACGGCCCATCAATTTTAGTTGTCAACATCACAATGCTTATGGATTCCTGACGAAAAAAACAACTTTATTACGTCAACAACAATTTACGAAATATATGACGTAACAAAAATGTCTCGCGCTTTTAATGGATGATTCCAGTTGCGGCATTGACAGAGGGTGGTTAGGCATATGTAACCTCAAAAAGATAATTTTAAGCGTTGAGATAAATTTATCTTGATGGCATTTAAAATAATTCTTGTATAGATCTACCCAGATTTTGAAACTTAACTGTAAAACGTATACCTTCAATTCATATATTAATAATATAAAACTTTTGATAACATTTAGATCTAAAAATGATTTTAATGACATGAATCTACAACAGTACAATACTTCTTCCATAATTACATATAACATTCGTTTTGATTTTATGTTTTTAAACTATTTTATATATTTCTCAGGAATAATTTCCCTACATATTATCTCGTTATTCAAGACTTCTGTAAATCTACAAAATATACAATACGCGGTATTTTTTCTCCCGCGAAAAATATGCTAGATCTATTGTTTTTTCACTGAATATTTTTTCAAATTTTAGGAAGGCTAAAATATTGAGAACTCACTCGGTGTTTCTCTTTGACTGGATCTACCCTTCATATTACAAAATAATTATATGTAACACTTTGAGTCTAAAAAAAAACACTTTATTGTCACTAGTCTTATTTGAACTTTACTCTTAATAATATCAAATCACTGCCGGTATTTCTTGACATTTTGTTTGAATTGTGAGACGGAAAGTTTATTCTGTATTTACAAACTTAAAGTGTATAGGCCTACGTTTGATTTGCTTAAACTAGAAAGCATGATAATAATTATTGGCTTAAACTAGAAAGCATGATATATTTATTCTTATAATTTACATTTCCTTGAACGCGAGTCTGTGTTCTCTCGTTAGCGAGGGAGTTAGTTAAAGTAGACACTGTGGTAACAAGCAAACCAATGCTGAACGTATAGTGAATCAGTTTTCCTTTCTTTTTATATTTTTTGAAAGATTTTGCATTGATAATGTAGTATTTGTTGGCGATTTCTTGTGAAAGTTGAAACCTACGGAAAGTTTTAGCGCATTCGTGACATCGCCCTCCCGAAATATGAAGGGTAACATATTTATGTATCCCATCGAACCTGGTCAATTTATTTATTTTTGAATAGACGTGATACACACTTATGGACAGAATTCAGACAACTACAGAATTATGTAAATTAAACATTAATTAGCGAAGAACCATTTTTTTATAGTCTTCTATAGCTAGTGTTTTCTCCCCCCTACGACGCGTTGTGGTATTCAAGATATGCGCATTGATTAAAAAGCTATCTAATCAAATCACTTCATTGCTCTTTTTCTCTTTTAAAAAATATAAAATACGACAGTATATCATTTGGTAATTAATTAAATCTTTGTGTGTTTTGAATTTATATAAAGCTTCTGATAATTTTCTCTTCAAATGATTTTGATTATTTTTTATAATGGTTTGCTAGTAAAATTGCCTTTTTGACACCAACTTTGTTGTCATTTTTCATTTTTAATGATAACATTTACTATTGATCAGTAAGTAAATAAGAATAATATTTTTTTATAATTACCGAGTACATTTCACGCTAATTGTGAGACGAACCCTAAATGACGTCTATATGGGCGCCGCCATTTTGAAATGGACGTCACGTCAGGTTACAACGTAAGTCAACGGGGAAAAAATATAATTTTTTAAACATTTTGACCATATTACTGAACTTTATGAAAAAAAATGAAAAACATGCCCTAGAGATATTGATGTCAGGGTTAACATGACATTAATTTAAATGATTTTTTACTATTATATTAAATAAAAAATGGAATGTTCA